CATATGATGAAAGCACATGCCATGCTATTCACATGACACTAAACAAATGTCACATGATATTATGAGGAAAGGATATTTAAATGCTACATGATTCAACATGATACTCACTGGACAAACACCACATGCTGTTCTCATGAGACCTGTTGGTTCAATCAGCAATTCAATAGATCTATATAATTTTATCTGTCCACTTTCAACACTTGCAACCACTGTTACTTCCACTTTGTTATCGTATATTAATGTATTCAATATAGTTTCTATGTCTTCTACTGAAAGCTGTACCTATAGACATCAAGAAGAGTTATATTGTTGAAAATGTTTTAAAAATTTTAGGATTTATAACAATACTGTGGAATATTTTATTTTAATTTGGAATTAATTTTCACTATTTTCGCTGAAGGAATGATTCAGTGAAGATAAAATTCAGCGAATATACATTTTTCCTATATACATTTTTCTTATTTTTCCTTCAACTTGTCAAAAATCAGTGAAAATAAATTCCATACAGAACACCAAATAGTATATTTTACAAAAATTAATTCCAGTATTTCACAGTAATGATGTACAACATTTTCATGCAAAAAATGCAAATTTTTATAACATTTTTTTTTATTTTCAGAATCCTTGTGGCATAAGGTTATATTTTTATTTATTTATTTTATTTATCTTTATTTCAGACTGTCAAACATTTGAAAGTCAGAATAAAACTAGTATGAAAAATAAATAAATAAATAAATAAATAAATAAATAAATAAATAAATAAATAAATAAATAAATAAATAAATAAATAAATAAATAAATAAATAAATAAATATATGTATATAGGTCAACAGAAATGAATGAAGAAAAAAAAAATGTCACACTTGCCAACAAGTGTGCGTATGGCAATATTAATAATACAAAATATTATTCCAATGCTGGAACATGGCAGACTTCCAACAGACAACAGACTGTTATTCGAGGTGTATATACACTTTCTAAAATTTCAAAATTTTGCAAAAAGACTTGACATGATTGTACACAAACATATGATTTTATACACTATAATAACGTGGGTAATGAAAAAAGCGGCGAAACAAGTTATTATAAAATACATGCAAAGCATTAATAATGAGAGCATCAAAGATGACAAACTCTTCAAGTCAACCCAAACCTCCTTATTTTAAATCAGTGAAAATATGTGACATGATGTATGTAAGGATTAATTGCAATCAGTAAAGGCATATCAGTGATAGCGGAACAGCATTTCATTAACACAAAATGTTTTTCAGATGGTCATTTTAAATCCGATCAAAAAAAAACAAAATGATGTGCAGCAAGGTCCCATTATGTTCAATGTGTGTACAAATTTTGAACAATAGCTGTCCATGTATGACCCAAATCTGGGTCTAAATTGCAGAAATTATTGACTTTTATTTTTGATTGAAATGGTCATCATTTAGCCATCTTGAACCTGATTATCAAAGAAATATATGTGAACATGATGGATCACCATTTTTTTTCATTAAAAAGAAGTGGTGACCAGTCAGCCATCCGATCTGAAAACCAAAATGACATGTACCAAATTGACATAATAAATCAGATCGTGAAATGAATGGATGTGCACATGTAAGATATATTGTTGATTGCGATTAGTCAAGGCATGTTCGAAAGTCGTCATTTTCAAACTTCCTTCGAGTAAATTGAAAATTGTACAAAATTGAATTGCAAAACAAAACAACAGCCGCCCACCATGTGTGACTTACCGGTATATACTACCGGTAAGTTTGATTGAAATCTGCCAATGAACTGCCGAGAAATCATTGTACACAGTTACACATGGACATGGGTATATTCCAGTATTTCATGCTATGCAAAAATGGAGGCTGATAATAAATCAGATTATGTTGTTTTTTAGGATGTTCAAAGCAAGCAGTATACAAACTAAGAAATCTCAATGACATTCAACATACATCTCTGAACTTCAAATTCAAATTCCCACATGGTTTCGTTTTAGTGGCAGGAAATGTCCAGAAACTACCTACTACTAGTAGTACTTAACATTGCAGGTACTGTATTAACATGTGATAACATAAAGGCTGAGTTTTCAAATTACTGTAAACTATTTAATTCTCACTTTTAGAAATTTGGCAATCAAGAAGAAAACATTTCCTTACAGTCATTGTTACTTCATGTTGTATAGCCCCAAAATAAGAAATGTTCGCGGCTACAAAATTTCAGGTTTCCATGGACTTGTGAAATTAAAGCAGTTTACAGTAAGTCGCATGTGAATGATCCAGCATAAACAAAAACGCAATTTTCTGTGCCTTTCTATTAGTAATAAACTTTTAATACGGTAGAACAAATATGGTATTATATACATGTATGTACATGGATATATATATATATACACACACATATGGATCCTGGTAATCTATGTGCATTTACTTAATTGATTTTGATCTCATTTACTATGCACACAATAGATGAGAACACACATACTCATGTTGGCAAAGAAAATACTCACTTTACTTATTCCTAATTCCGATATGAATTTCCAGACTTCATTGGACGATGCATATGATGCATTTCTTTTAGTAATAGGATCGTGTTTGCTATTCTCGGCATTCACTCTCTGTAGACGCAACACACAGGAAAATAGTTCAGAATATAAGAATACATTTATAAATCAGTTAAGGTGACGCTGCACTATGATTTAAAGCAATTTTAAACAACAAATTACGCTACTAACCATAGACCTTAGAAAGAGAATAAATTCTCTTTCTAAGGTCTATGTACTAACAAATACGCTAATTTTGTCATATTATGTACTATATGAAAGCTTATTTTGCCAGCTTTTCAACATTATGATGCATATTTTTTTGGTTGTTAGCGGTATCGAAAATGGGTTGAAAATGTTAAAATGACCCATAATTAACGCTATTGCCGATTGTCAATGTGGTTACTTTTTTTCTTCTCGAAACAATAAATCCACACGACACACTTTGAATGTACCAGACAGGAACAATTGTTCCTGAAAATTTCAAAGGAAATGACAAAATAGTCTAAATAGTTTTGAAGGACCTGGTTGAAGTCGAAAATGAATTTGAGATAATCGCCATTTTGTACAAGTTCACACAAAACCACGAATATTGCTTCGCCTAGCTTTTGGACACTGCCGAAACATCCCAAAAAGATTGAGTACCACAACCGGAACGACATTATTTTTAAATGAGATCGTTTAGTATTACCAGTAACTCCTTACATTACGATCCCATAATGAGTGTACGAGTAACCACGATTAAAACAAATGAACATGGTATACAGGTTTTAAAGGCTTGAGACCTGGTGAATTTTATAATAAAATGATTTTTTTTTAATTTAATAAATGATAAGAAACATTAGTTAAAGAGGTTTTTACACTTTTGCTTTCAGAAATGTCATTTTAGTGAGATGAGTGGAATAAATATGACATTTGATCTTGTCTGCTGTTTATATGGGTAGCATAGAAAGTGGTGCAAAAGATACGTTTACAAACTGGGTTTATAGGTCTACAATTATTAAGCAAATAATTTTGCATAAGTTTCCACAAAAATAAAAAAAGTGGTAAGTTATAAATGCAAAATAAGCTTCAACAATAACTTGAAATACAAACCGTTTGATGAAGAAATTTCATACATTGTTGATTTAAAACTTCTACAAATTCTGATTCAAAATCTTGATCACTGTACCAAGCACCACCGGTCACTGATCTATCTGGGTCTATGTTATATAACATATAAACTTTTTTTTTTGATGCCTGCAATCAAACATTAAGTGTGTTTGTTTAATAATAATAATAATATATTCACATGACATATTGAACAAGATTTATCGAATTGCCATAGGCATCATACTGCGTTGTGTTTGGTGTACCTCATTCCATGTGACACCATACAAGACAAGTAAAATATGGTGTTGCTTTTTTGTTTACATGAAAATTGAACAGAGGTGATGAATGTGGTGCTATGAAATATTTTAATAGTACATGTAATATTACCCTTCTTGCGACTAGAATGTTAGTTTAAATAAATGAATGACTGATTAATCATTGTGTCACTCTGCATGTTTGATGGCCTGCTGAAATAGCAGGTAATGTTAATGGAGTCAGTCCTTTGAGAATAAAGTTGTTTTCAAAAATCAGATTTATGATTACCATCAACATTTATTATGTTTCATTTACTTCTATGTAAATAACACTAAATGCACAATATGAATGATTTTCCATAAATTAACCTGGAAATATTGAATCTTGAATAAACAAGCAAAAAAAACAACAACAATAAATAAATCTGAAACGTTGGATATTTTGTTTTTATAAATATCACATATATAAATAAACAATTTACTAATTGAACTTACCCCAACAGATTTGATAGCTTTAATGAGTTTTTTACTCTCCAGATTACGAAGAATCTTGCTGACTTGTGTCATGAGTAAGTTACTTTTATAACGAATATCACGGATCCATATTCCTTTATTTCCTGCTTCTTCTATTATCTGGTATATCAACTTCTCTTGATTATCAGATCCCTTCATTTTACTAAAATATATTTTTAATTATCAGCTTTTGAGAAAAATAGTTATGAACAAAAATAGTAGATTCATGAGCCAAATAAAGTACAATAGTCTTTATATAAGAGTGGTCACTGTATAAGGTAGTCTTTATATAAGGGTGGTCACTGTTTAAGGTAGTTTTTATATACCCGGTATTAGCCTGGGTTGAAAAAAAACACCATTTTTTTGGTAGGTGTGGCTATTCCGGTTCTCACAAGACGTACAATTCCAGGCTCACTCATACCGTATCCCAAGGCTAGCTTGGTTGGTGCGATACAAGCCCAGGCAATCCTTTATATGGTTACTATATAGTTCCCATGGTAAAGGTGCAGAACTCATGACAGTATAAATTACATACCCTTAGCAAAATATGCATCACATAATTTCAATGAATTTGTATTGCATACCACCATGCACAATTACAGCCAATGCAAACCCTTATCTGATTATCTAGCTTGTTAAACATACCTAGATGTCTGTGGATCTTTTAATTTGTAAACTAATCCTGCAGTAGTTTTCAGTAAATCAATGCGACCCTAAAAACAATAAAGATACCAATGTATGTGTACTGTAATTAATTGTATTATAATAAAGTCAGAATGTGTAGTGAATACCTTCACTAAAATGGTCTTTACAGACAGGTGGTCTTTATGTAGATGTTAGAATATTTTTTTAATGATTTGTTAACTCATACAATTGACATGATATTTGTCCACAAAATAATGAGATGGTACTGTTGTAATAAAAATACATTTATTAGAGTTGATCAAAATCAAATAAGTGTGACTTGATGAAATTATTTGACAGACAGAATTCTAATTATTATTTTGGCCTGCAAAAATCTGTGCATCTACAAACTAGCAACCTGTCGGCTGAGATAGCTCCGCTGTTATCAATGCACATTTCAATTAAAAAAACTGAAGATATCATCAGAAAATGAACAATATGTATAGTATTAAAGCAATCAGACTGGCTGTTTTCAACAAAAATTTGAAAATATAACTTTTTATCAAAAATATTCATTAAAATTAGATAATTGAAGATATCACCATGAAATTAACAAATCTGAAAGAGGTACACATGTAGTACCTATATATGTAATATAAAAGCAATGGGGTTTTCAACAAGAAGTCGAAAATATCACTTTTTACCAAAAATGACAAAAATATTCATCAAAATTAGAGAATTAAAGATATCATCACGAAATGAACAAATCTGAGAGAGGTCCACATGTAGTACTTACATATGTAATATCTAAGTAATCGGACTTTGAAGTATCTATGTAATAATTTCATAGACTTTATAGAGGTCACTGTATAAGATAGTCTTTATATAGAAGTGGTCACTGTATAAGGTAGTCTTTATATAGAGGTGGTCACTGTATAAGGTAGTCTTTATATAGAGGTGGTCACTGTATAAGATAAATTTTATATAGTGGTGGGCACTGTATAAAGCAGTCTTTATATAGAGGTGGTCACTGTATAAGGAAGTCTTTATATAGAGGTGGTCACTGTATAAGGTAGTCTTTATATAGAGGTCTTCACTGTATAAGGTAGTCTTTATATAGAGGTGGTCACTGTATAAAATAGTCTTTATATAGAGGTGGTCACTGTATAAGATAATTTTTATATAGTGGTGGGCACTGTATAAAGCAGTCTTTATATAGAAGTGGTCACTGTATAAGGTAGTCTTTATATAGAGGTGGTCACTGTATAAGGTAGTATTTATATAGAGGTGGTCACTGTATAAAGTAGTCTTTATATAGTGGTGGTCACTGTATAAAGCAGTCGTTATATAGAGGTGGTCACTGTATAAGGAAGTCTTTATATAGAGGTCTTCACTGTATAAGGTAGTCTTTATATAGTGGTGGTCACTGTATAAGGTAGTCTTTATATAGTGGTGGTCACTGTATAAGGTGATCTTTATATAGAGGTGGTCACTGTATAAGGTAGTCTTTATATAGAGGTGGTCACTGTATAATGTAGTCTTTATATAGAGGTTTTCACTGTATAAGGTAGTCTTTATATAGAGGTGGTCACTGTATAAGGTAGTATTTATATAGAGGTGGTCACTGTATAAGGTAGTCTTTATATAGAGGTGGTCACTGTATGAAATAGTCTTTATATAGAGGTGGTCACTGTATAAGATAAATTTTATATAGTGGTGGGCACTGTATAAAGCAGTCTTTATATAGAGGTGGTCACTGTATAAGGAAGTCTTTATATAGAGGTGGTCACTGTATAAGGTAGTCTTTATATAGAGGTCTTCACTGTATAAAATAGTCTTTATATAGAGGTGGTCACTGTATAAGGAAGTCTTTATATAGAGGTGGTCACTGTATAAGGAAGTCTTTATATAGAGGTCTTCACTGTATAAGGTAGTCTTTATATAGTGGTGGTCACTGTATAAGGTAGTCTTTATATAGTGGTGGTCACTGTATAAGGCAGTCTTTATATAGTGGTGGTCACTGTATAAGGTGATCTTTATATAGAGGTGGTCACTGTATAAGGTAGTCTTTATATAGAGGTGGTCACTGTATAAGGTAGTCTTTATATAGTGGTGGTCACTGTATACGGTAGTCTTTATATAGAGGTGGTCACTGTATAAGATAGTCTTTTTATAGTGGTGGTCACTGTATAAGGTAGTCTTTATATAGTGGTGGTCACTGTATAAGGTAGTCTTTATATAGAGGTGGTCACTGTATAAGGTAGTTTTTATATAGAGGTGGTCACTGTATAAGGTTGTCTTATACAGTGGTCGTCCCTGATTAAGGTATTGTACTTCCCTGAGTATAAGCCCCTCCCCAAGTATAAGCCCACCCCTCTGTTTTTAGACATTTAACGAGTTGAGGGCATCTCCGAGTATAGGCCCAGGGTGTTTTTACCAGGTGTCAACAACATTTATTAAAATACGCATGTAAAAATTGTATTTCATTGCATAATAATCATGATTGGTACGGTAGTTTGGTTCCAGCTTTTACGAAAAAACTCGTATTAATTTCAGAGTGCATGGCGGGCGAACGCACAGAACATAGTTCGCACCTTTTCTATTCTGTTATTTACTCGGGATGAACCCGGGTGTAAATGAGCAAAATACTAGTATTCTTCAACATGACTTGGCAGTCGTGAAAGGTATAAATACTTCCCCCACTCTCAGTTTACCTTTCAAAAATTGCGGATCAACAGCTTTTAGGAATCAAAGAAAGCTTAGAAAGAACTCCCGTGTGCTGAGAGTATTGGAGACACATTAATTCAAAATTACTTGAACTTGAGATATTGATGGAAATGCAGAAAACTAATTATGCAAATAAGGTAACTAATATGAACACATTTAAGTGTAAAACTAATAAGGTCTGCGCAATGTAAAAGTAATAAGATCTGCATAATTTAATATCTATGTACCAAGTTTCATTGAAATGTGATTAGAACCAAAAAATTATTAATTATTGTGCTAATTAAGAGAATTAATATGAACAGATTTTAACCCAAAATTAATCAGGCTGTCTATTGTCCTAGAGCATTTATGTACCAAGTTTTATTCAAATGTGATGATCAATACTTGAGATATCAGTATTAATTAATTATGTTAATTAGTGATTAAGAAGCATAAATATTTACCAAAACTAATATGGTGTACAGTCCTACACATGTAGTTCATTGAAATGTGATGAGTACTCTTTAA